CAAAAAATCTACCAAGGAACTTCTACAACTCATAAACACTTTCAGTAATGTAGCAGGATACCAGATTAACTCAAAAAAATCGGTAGCCCTTTTGGACACAGATGATAAATGGACTGAAAAGAAATCAGAGAAACATCACTCTTCACAATATCCACAAATAGCATAAAATATCTCAGAGTAACTCTAAGCAAAGAAGTGGAGGACCTGTATTACAAAAACTTTAAATTTTTGAAGAATGAAATTAAAGAAGACACCAGAAAATGGAAAGATCTCCCATGCTCTTAGGTAGGTTTAATTAACATAATAAAATTGGCAATCTTACCAAAAGCAATCTACAGATTCAATGCAATGCCCATCAAAATCCCAGCAAAAATTTTCACAGACCCCAAAACAACAACAATGCTCAACTTCATATTGAAAAGCAAAAATCCAGGATAGCCAAAACAATCCTATACAATAATGAAACTTCTGGAGGCATTGTAATTCCTGGCTTCAAACTCTACTACAGAGCTACAGTACTGAAAACAGCCTGATATTGCCATAAGAACAGATTGGAGGACCAATGGAACTGAATTATAGATCAGATATTAATTCCCATACCTATGAACATCTGATTTTTGACAAAGAAGCAACAATTATAAAATGGAAAAATGAAAGCATATTTGACAAATGGTGCTGGCATGACTGGATATCAACACAAGAATGAAAATAGATCTGTATCTATCACCATGAACAGAACTCAAGTCCAAATGGATCAAAGACCTCAACATAAGGCCAACCATACTGAACCTCATAGAGGAGAAAGTAGATAGTACACTTGAACGCATTGGTACAGCAGACCCCTTCCTAAATGTAACCCCAGTAGCAAAGACACAGAGAAACAATTAATAAATGGAACCTACTGGAACTGAAAAGCTTATGTAAAGCAAACGTCATGGTGAATAAGACATAATGGTTGCCTACACAATGGGAAAAGTTCTTCACCAACCCTACATCACACAGAGGTCTGATCTCTAAAATACACAAATAATTAAAGAAATTGGTCATCAAAAGAACATATAATCCAATAAAAAATGGGGTACATCCCTAAATAGGGGACTGTCAACAAATGACTTTAAAATGACTGAAAGACACTTAAAAAAATGCTCGACATCCTTAGCCATCAGAGAAATGCAAATCAAAACAACTCTGAAATTCCATCTTACACCTGTAAGAATGGCCAATATCAAAAACACTTATGACAACTTATGCTGGAAAGGATGTGGGGTAAAGAGAACACTCCTCCATTGCTGGTGAGAGTACAAACTGGTACAGCTACCTGAGATATCAGTATGGCAATTTCTCAGAAAATTAGGAAACAACCTACCTCAAGACTCAGCAATACCACTTTTGGTTATATACCCAAAGGATGCTCAATCACACCAAAAGAACATGTGCTCAAGTAAGTTCTTAGCAGCATTGTTTGTCATAGCCAGAACCTGGAAACAACCCAAATGCCCTTTAACAGAAGAATGGATAAGGAAAATGTGGTATATTTATACAATGTATTACTACAGAGCAGAAAAGAATAATGACATCTTGAAATTTTCAGGCAAATGGATGGATCTAGAAAACATCGCACTGAGTGAGGTATCCCTGATCCAGAAAGATAAATATCATATGTACTCACTCATAAGTGGCTTTTAGATATAAAGCAAAGAAAACCAGACTACAAATCACAGTCCCAGAGAATATAGACAACAATGAGGACATGGATATAATTTACATGGGAAACAGAAAATGACAAGATCTCCTGAGTAAATTGGGAACATGGGGACAATGGGAGAGGGTTGAACGAGAGGGGAGAAGAAGTGGGTTAACAGAGGAAAATGTACAGCTCAATAAAATCAATAAAATATTTATTTAAAAAGATGAATTTTCAATAAATTAGCACACCTTTCAACTCTCACCAGAGAAGCTTTATTTGCAGTTGATTTCATTTAACTCACATACCTACAAGTGATCAAAATGCAGAGAATAAGAATGGAATATTCAGCTTTATATGGGATATCTTTATCACATTCTCTACTATCAAGTCTCAAAGAATGCTGCAGAGGAAAGACAGGAAGAGTTTAAGGGTCAGAAAATGTACATAACTACCATGTATCAGTACTTTTCAGACACAGCAAGGAAGATGCATATATGAATTCTGTGTAGTTGTGTGAAAATGCACAAATTCCCACATTGAAGGTGAGGGTGAAGGGAGATCACAAAATCCCACCGCTTGCAGCTGCTAGAAAAGGAAGAATCAATTTCTTTATGAGCATACACCTGGTAAATCAGTTACTCTCAAGTGTAAAACCACACGTGCAAGAATATAGAAACAGCATAAATTGTACTTCATGGATTGTTTTAAGAAGAGAAAGGTGCCAGAGACATGGCTTAGCAGTTAAGAGCACTGGCTACTCTTCTAGAGGTCCTAAGTTCAATTCCCAGCAACCACATGGTAGCTCAGAGCCACCTGCAAAGGGATCTACCATCTACTGGCTTGCAAGCATACATGCAGATAGAGCACTTATACACATAAAATAATAATTAAATATTGAGGATGAGGAAGAGAAGAAAAGAGGATACAAATTTGGACTGGTAGTAGAAGGGACACATACCAGAGAATAGTTGGGGATAGGTGAATATAATAAAACATTTTATGAAATTTTCAGATATGTATAAAATGGAAATTCTCAAAAAATTACAACTGTTATTAAATGTCCTACTTAAGCAAAAATAATTGACAGATATTTACATGGCCTCATTGAGTGTTAAAATAAAGTTAATGGAAATAACTACTAGATACTCATAAAATGAGTTATGTCATAAAAGAAAATCTTAACAAATTTGATAACAGAGTCATATTCTAGTGTGCAAATGGTTATAAAATAAATTATAAAAGAAAACATGAAGGTAAATTGGACATTCTTAGGTAAATATATATATATATATATATATATATATATATATATATATAGTTATTTTTAGCCCACTAGAAAGATAAAATTAAAGGAGAATAATATGCTCCTAGTCTGATGTGTTTAGATTATAAAATCTAACTCTCCTGATACTTAAAGGGAAACAAGTCAACTGAAGCTTGCTCGTTGCTGTTATGGATTAAAAGTGTCCCAAACATCCTAAAAATCCACATGCCGGTATTTTACAGACTGAATGATGCACCTCTTATAAATTTCAGTTTTGTATATTTATCTAAGAAATACAGTATAAATTTTAACTCAATGACATGTCTTTAAATTTTCAGAAATGGCTCAAAAATTGTTAAGATCTAAAATAGTGAAAATGTTCCTTAAAATGGTATGTACAACGAAATGATTATGTATATATATATATATATATATATATATATATATATATATAAATTTATCTCTCAACAATAAAAGTCAGTTACTATACAAATCATAATATAGAAGAATGGCACAGATATTGTACTGAAAATTATGGAATTAAGTTTGAAAACACGATACTTAAATCTACTGATATGAAGAGGTAGAAACACAACACTACAGTAACAAAAAGAATTTCTTATGATGGTAGAGTTGAAGAGAAAGGGAAAAATAGAAATTCCTCACTAGATTAAGACTAGTTTTAGTTTGATGGGTTGTATTCATATAAGCACACTCATTTGCCAATGTCACTAACCTGAACTCTAAACATATTTGAACTATCCCTGAATAAAAATGGTTTTTCACTGATGAGTCCTGTGAAAGTTTGAGTGAAACTGTCAGTTGTTTTAAGATAGTTCTGAGTTTCTAGAAGTAATAAAGCTAAAGCAATTTACCTAGATAGGATTTTTATAAAATGAAAAGTGGCAGAAATATGAAAATCAGTGTTTTCATATAGATCAGCATTATTAGCAAAGACATTAGAAAAATTCATAAAATTAAAAATATGAGCAAAAACAGCATGGTGGAAATGCTATCAAATAACAACTCAGTAAAAATTTTAAACAGGTCACTAATATTAATCATATAAAATTTTAAATCACCGAATATACAATTTCTTAGAGATTAAATATATAATGGACTGTACCAAAAAAAAATGCTAACAAAAGATTCTCATCAGCAAATTGGTACAATAGGAGACAGCTGACAAACATTCAAAAACAGATTAGACTTTTAAATATATATTAAATTCGTGAAAAGGAAGATTTAATATGATTATATAATTAATTATTTTAAAATTGTTCTGAAAATTCAAAATAATGTCCTTTAAGCCTAGCCAATGTTATTTAAAAGATGTTGAAAATCTATATTAAATAAGGAATACAGCAACCCAGACTGATTTTTAGAATTACTAATATTGCAGCAAACTATTTACAAGTTTATTGACTTAAGAAAACCTGCCCTTCAAAATTGTTTATTGCAAATTGACTTAGAATTATATTTCTAAAACCCAAATGATAAGGGAAGAAATTCAAATCTGCATTATTATGTTTATCATTTTTAGACATTTATTCTGAAAATAAAATATGACACTACACAGTCACTTAAAGAACATAGAACATGAAGTAACCATCAGTATAAACATATAAGTCCAGAGATTGGAAAAAAATATGAACACTAGACAATACACAATATCTCAGAATTCCCTTCCCAGTTACACATCACAGTGGATTCCCGAGGCAATTATTAATTCTTTAAAATGGCATGTCAGTACTTCAATATATGAATGATGTGTGTAGCTATTATCTTATTTGTTTAATTTTAAACCATATTTTAAAAATTATTTTGAATCCAATGACAAAGTGATTTCAAAATTTGTATAACTATAAATTAACCAAAATTTACTCAGTATTTTGATTTAATGGCTGATAGTTGTGTTTACATTGCTATATACTTGCAAAGAATCCTTAGTATTCACTTATACAGATTCAAAAAGAAACATTTGACATAGTTAATATACATGGGATGGGGAGTCAAGAGCATCTTGTGATCTCAGAGCTAGTTACTTACTGACACGGATGCATTTGGGTTGAGGAGACCAGCCGTTCTCTGTGCATGTTACTGTGTCCTGATCATTTGGGAGACTGTAGCCAGAGCGACACCGGACTCTTACAGACTCATCCTGTATGTAGTCTCCTCTCCGTTGTAAAACTTCCCCATTCTCTATATAATGGATTCCACATACCTCTAAGGAACATAAATTTACCATAAATGTTAAGTTAAAAACAAACAACACTCATTTATTTTTTAATAAAACTATAGTTTAACTTTACAGTAGTTAAATAAGTATTGTGACATTCAAAAATGAAAACAATACCAAATGTTTCAAAAAGTAGCATTATCTTTAATTTTTGTAAATAAAATATGCAACCAATAAAGATATTATTATGGTCCTTATTTTTCACATACATTTTATGAAGAGCTGCTCATAAAGGACAGAAACTAGTTTTTTGCTCACAAACTCTTTTGTTTCTTAACAGAAGAGACTTAACTGTTATTATATATGTGATCTTTTCTTTCTAGTCTTTGACAGAATTAAACATGATTTGATACAGACATTGACTTACTGCGGCATGGGACTGCAGGCTCCCACCCTTGTACAGTGCAGCGAATTTTGTCCCAGTATTCCCTTGAGGGAGTTACAAATCCATCGTTGCAATGGTAGTAGTACCACTCTTTTCTTTCTGTTGTGAAGTAGCGTTTGATCCAGTATTCTCTATATAGTTCTCCATTTTTGATTTGTGGAAAAGCACATGGTTGATCTTGCAATAAAAACAAAAAGACAGAAAAACACTCATACCAATGATAAACCACTTGATCAGTGAATTAGTTTCTATTAATTATAATAACTATAAGTCTAGAGAGTGTTTGGAGAATGAGACAAATAGAATCCAGACTGCTGAGGTATGTGAGAAGGTCTTTCCTCAGGAAATCAAGTTATGCCTCACAGGTCACCAGAGAAGTGGGTCAGGGATATTTGTTAATATTCAATATGATCATTGAATATTTTTAATTTTTATTAGAACTGAAATCTAATGTGATTAAATCACAGTGAACTATCCTTGTAAATTCATATTGAAGTATATATTGTTCACTGTATTAATAAATTTATATGTAATATTTCATTAATTTTTTCCTTTATGATGTTCTTATTTATAAATAATAAATACTTTTAATATCAGAATAGTATAATTTTCTATGGAGTATGATTTTTCTTCAGGGACTCTCATGCAGTATGTTAAAAGAATTCCTCCAAACATGCCAAAAACCAGAAATCTCTTATAGCTTCCTTGTTCATGAACACACACATTTGTTACACTGTGTATAAATTTAATTCTTTTTATCTTGAGTGTCCTTTTTTAAAATTTGAGAATTTTACTGTTCACAGGACTTCAAGAAATTTAATTAACTTACTGAGATTTCTTTTTAAAGGGTTACAAAAGGAGACATGGTTTAAACTAGGTTCCTCTGCCTTTTAATTCATCTTCATTCTCATGTGAGAAAAGACAAATCTGTCTTTGTCTCTTTTATAAGTGATTCCTTAACACAAGTCTAATATTACTGAAAGTGAATGACCAGCAGAGGTAGTCAGTACTTAACAGCTGCCCCATTTAAATATTATACTTTTCCAGATGCAGGTTTTGGCCACATCTGCAGTGATGGTTGGTCCATCGAAGTTTTAATTCAGTTACTCACAAGATTGATTAATATATTTACTAATTTTCTTGTTTTGTCTTTTAAATATTTATGCATTTTGTCTTTTTATTATTATTACTTAAAATACCAGTTCAAATACCCACTCCCTCCCCTCCACCAATTCCCCTCCATCTCCCTCCACAGACCCTCGCACACCACCCCTCCAACCCTAAGGGAGTATCATGTACCCTGTCCTGTGGAAAGTTCAAGGCCCTCCCTACTACATCATGGTTGAGCAAGGTTTACATCCAAAGAGAATAGGATCCCATGAAGCCGGTATATGCAGTAGAAACACATCCCAGTATCACTGTCAGTGGATCCCCAGCTGTCAACCCCCTTCAGAGGGCTTTGGTTGTTCCCATGCTCATTCACTCCCAGTCTGGTTGGAGTTGGTGGGTTAGCTCAAGCAGACTGTCCAACTACTTTAAATAAGTACTAGCACAGTTCATTTTTTGACTTATCATAGGATCTCCTAATTATTATTGATAAATTTAATCCTACTTCAGATTCAACATGGCACAAAAGATCAAATTGTAGATTTTCTTCTAATGAAGATTCATGATCATCATCCTTTGTATTGCTCCAGTTTTAAATTTATACTATATTTTCCCCTAAACCAAAAATCATTTGATGAAAACAATGAGTAATTGGAGAGGCCCGAGAAGAGAGTACTACACATTTTAAGTAGAAAAGGTGTTTAATGAAATCACAGAGAGATTTGTCATCTTTATTTTATCCAGCCAAACACCAGAAATTCTGCTGTGAGAAAATTCAGATTCAGATATATTTAGTCCATAGACGGATCAGGTACCTTTGGGGGAGATCTGTGTTGTGGATCTTGGGTTTGAGGCTCACTGCAGTATGCAGATTTCATACCTGTAATTATAAACCAACTCAAAAGCCCATGGCAGGGGTGTCATGAGATCTTGAGGGAACTTAATTCTGTGATTGTGATAAACTGACATAACACTGAATAATCTTCTGAATATATATGTTCGTATTTTCGTAAATCCACACTGTCAACATCAATCAGAGATGCTTTTTCTTTCCAGTAAACTATAATGAATGTAGAGACTTGTTAATGCACATGGGAGTTCTGAGAGTGAGCTCATCATTAAACATGACATTTACACCATCCCTCAAAAGTTCAAGGACCATGTGGATGAAAGGATACAATGATTGTAAGAGCAAGTATATAGTCATCGTGACTGTGAAATATCTTCTGAACTATTCAAAGCCATTATAATCACAAACTACATCTACAGATCAACATCTATAGATGTCTGCACAGAGTCAATCAAGAATGGCCCATCAACATCCAGGCACAAATGGAGTAAACTCTCGGGAAACTGTGGCACTCATCTCTGAACTATTTCATCAGATTGATTCAGAATAAAAAGGGAGTCGATTATTTCAGGTGTATTCCCACTAATGGCTAAAGTAGTACTTCCAAAAGACAATTCAACTATTACATATACGTCCTTTGTTAAACTATATGTACCACTCATCAAAACTCAAACTTAAGAATCTGGGGGCAGGACATGCGACTATGAGGTATTGTTGGTAGAGCTGGGATGTGAAAAAAATATGAAAATAGGATATCCAGAAATTTTTGTATATATGTAAGAAACTTTGACATAAAGAAATTTATGTCAAAGACATAATAAATAAAATATAGAAAGGTCATTAATATTTTCTTACAATTCCAATACACTAATAATATTTCTTACTGAAAATTACCTTTTTTTCTTACTGTAATTTGAATCTCATATATTTTTCAAAATCTCACTTTATTAGAAGCTTGTTTTCTCATTTATGGTGGTTTTGGGAGAGGGTGTAAAGCTCAGAAGTTGGTAGCCTGGATGAAATCAGTCAGATCATTGGGGCTGTGCAATGAAGGGGTACTGGGATCTTGGCCGTTATTTTATAGCTTTGTTTCCTTGTGGGTAGGAGGGAAGCAGTTTGCTTTAGTTCTCATTCCTTGACATAAAGCTATGCCTGTCACAAGCTTAAAGTGGTGAGATTAGCAGATAGTAAACCCAAGTCACCAAAGTCACCAAAAGTGTAAATAAGCCCTTGTTATAAGTTATGTTTTCCAGTAATATTGACACAGAGACAGAAAGTGACTAAGAAAAGATCCTTGATCACTCTTTTGTCACTGTAGGGTTTGTTTGTTTGTTTGTTTGTTTGGCTTAAGGGATACCACGCTTTGGCATGATATACATTTATCAGTGTCTTATAGACAGGAAGAAAAGAATATAGATACAGATAGGCAAAAACCTTAAAGGAATGAAAGAAGTATACCAAAATAACATATCTTGACTCAAGTGACATTGTGCTGCATGTGAGTTATGAAGCTCTTTTCTCCCTTCTTTCCTTCCCCAAATATACCCTAGAATCCCAGTCTCAGATATTAGTAGGCACTCACTGGAAACATACCAGTTGAGAAGGACAGGGAAACCAGTAAGCTAACTGAAGACCTTCACCACTCCTCCTTACCTCCAAACCAACACCCCAGTGTCTTCCTTTGCACTGCAACAGAATATCAGCTGCAGTCTTCTTTCCCCCTCCTCTGCCTACATCTTCTGCTGGATCTTACATATGATCCCCTCCTAACCTCCCTTTTCCTACTTGTTACTTTATCTCAGCCTTCAATCCAGTAGGCACATTTGGCTATCCCACAGGCCTTGCTTCCCAGAACACCAGGAAGGCTGCATGCAGGCTTTGTCTTCTCTCTGTGTTTCCCCAGATCCAGTTCCCCAGTCTCAATCCCAGGTATGCATCAGAACATGGATGACAGTATTCTGTATCCTACCTCAGCTCCCATCTCTTATAGATCTCACAGATCTTCCTCTTCTCTCCTGCCTGCTATACACTTTGCTTTGTTCCAGCCCCCAATTCCAGATGACATCCCCCTGCTAAGCCAAGTTCCCTGTGAACATACCAGCTGGGCAGGCCAGTATAATAAGCAAAACATGGCCATCACACTCTCCAAAACTCCTTTGAGGAGACAGAAATCAAGGAACAAATCACCCATCCAGCAAAGACAAATACACTAATTCGAACTTAGACCTATAATCACGCCAAAACCACATGCATAGATGCAAACATAGGAAAAAATAATTGACAGTCTAGGTGATAAGTCTCCACTAGAATGCGACTGACTATGTTACCATGGGAGGCCCTGAATATTTCAACATAGCTGAAGCATAAGAAACTAACCTTAAAACTACCTGTATGAAGATAGTATTGGTTCTTAATGAAGAAACTGACAAATCCCTTTAAGAAATCCAGTAAAACACAAATAATCAGAGGAAATGAATAATACCTTAGGGAATCCAAGAACATACAAACAGTGGAAGGAAACAATTAAAACTGCTCAAGAAGTGAAAATGGAAATAAAAAAAGAAAACAAAAATGGAGGGAATTGTGGAAATGAAAAATTTAGGAATTTGAACAGAAACTATGGAGGAAAGTTTCACCACCAGAATACAAGAGATGTAAAAGAGATTTTCAGGTGTTGAAGATACAATAGAAGAAATGGAAACATCAAACAATGAAAATGTTAAATCTAAAAAAAATCATAATACAAAACATCTAAGAAACGTGAGATATTATGAAAAAAAACCTACTAATAACAGGAAAGGAAAAAAATTTCAGCTCAAAGGCCCAGAAAATATTTTCAACAAATTCATAGAAGAAAATTTTTCTGACAAAAAGATGGGGGTACCTATAAATGTACTAGAAGCACAAAAAAATCAAATATACCAGACCAGAAAAGAAAGTCCTCTCACCACATAACAATCAAAACACTAAATATACAGAGGAAAGAAAGAATAATAGAAGCTTCCAGAGAAAAATACCAAGTAATAAATATAGAAAGACCTATTAGAAATATACCTGAATTCCCAATGGAGACTCTAAATGCCATAAGGGCTTGGACATAAGTGGTACAGACTCTAAGAAACCACAGGAGCCAGTCTAGATAACTACTGTCAGCAATATTTTCAATCAATGTAGATGGAAAAATTAAGGTGTTCCATACTAAAGTCAAATATAAACAATA